AGAGAGAGAGAGAGAGAGAGAGAGAGAGAGAGAGAGAGAGAGAGAGAGAGAGAGAGAGAGAGAGAGATGACAAAGGTATTGGTTTTTTATTGTGTTCAGGTATTACGGCTTCGATCACATGAGCTAAAGCTGGAGCATGAGCTGGAGAGGGTGACAGCAGAGCTTGAGACACAAAGGTACTGTGCACCCTCTGTGTGTCATTTTCTTTGGATCCTTGTAGTCTTCGTGTTGCGGTATACGGGAACGTTTCAGTCTTTATATTCTTCAATTCCCTTCAAATTGGAGAGATGTTAGGCTATGACCTGTGCTATTCTATTGTGTGGCCTTCGTGGCCTGTTTTGTTTAGGTGTTCATCACAATCTATGTCTATTGCTCACCCATGTGAACATTCTCTCGGTGAATTGATTCTGCATCGTGGAAGAATCAGGAGTCTGTTAATCGCCCAATCGACTACCGTGTGAATCGAGCCCCTGAAATGGACATTTCTGCAATTCATGAGTGAAAAACTCCTGGGAAGTCATAGTGGAACTACATTACTACCTTCTTCTCCCGAATAGAATGCCCGGTCATTATTGCTGTATTTGGGCCAGCATTCGGTCTAGATACGGGTACAATGACCGAGCATTTCTATTTGGGTGAAGACTGTTGTACAAAATCCCACCAATACTTGTATCCTCTCTGAACAGCATGACATGGCCAAACTGTCGTGCAGCCTAAGTATTGTGTCGATGCGCATGTTGCTAGCATGGTATTTCACATGATGAAACTTTCCTTTTTTTCCCCCTTCATAGAAGGGCAACGGCCTTGAGGCAGAAGTAACTTATTTCATTCATCTTAGTTCCGCTGAATTTCTGTGTTTCAACAGTTCATGGATGTACCAACTGGGCTATCTCGTATCGTGTGCATCATTAAACCAACGTGATGCACCTTTCTGTTGCACATATGCGGGATGGAATTCTTGTACTCGGGGATGCTTATTTTTTTCTGAAACGCCAATTGTTTGTGTTGCAGGCGCCAAAATGCTTCAGCAGCAGCGGACAGAACCAATTTGCGGTCTATGGTTGAGGCATTGCAGGAAGGTGAGATTGAGGAAACGTGTTTCTGTTGCAGCGCACTTGACCCGTTGGCATCATGTAGAGATGTTCTACCGTCTTCTTGCGAATAGAACGCCCTGTTTGATATCTGTATTTTGGCACAACTTTTGGTCCGGATGCCGCGACAATGACCGGGCGTTCTATTTGGGTGAAGACGGAAGATGTGTTGAAGTTTTCTATGGAATGACAGATGGGTCCAAGGTAACAGTTGAGAGCTTGAAATGGATCCTTCAGCTATGTTGGGCTGTTGCCCGGCCAGGCACGCCCGGGCCAGTTGGGCAGAGTGGGGGTCGCCCGGCAGAACCAGACGGGTTAAAAAAGAGGCAAGGATCCCAATAAAAAAAAAAAAGACTTCAGGCCAGGACTGCACTTGGCCTAAGCATTCAGAATCCGGTCTTAACTCCGGTTGTGGTGATGGGTCCATCCCATACATGCAAGCGCACGTCGTGCGGGCGGTTCCCTACGTGCGGCGCACGCGCCCAACCGATCCCGTGCGGTGCACGACGTGTGCGGAGAACGACCCGTCACCGCCCTCAGAAAAAAAAAAGGCTGGGGTAGAAACGGTGCGTTTGAGGCCCCCCACCAAAATTATAAGCGAGACGAAATTTTTTTTTACAGGAGTACTGCCTCACCTTGCTCCTCCTCCCGTTCCTCATCCTACATGTCTCCTCCTCCCTTCTCCTCCTCCCTTCTCCTCCTCCTGCTCCTTCTCCTCCTCCTGTTCGTCCTCCTCCTCGTGCCCTTCCTCAAACTCCTTGTCTCCTCCTCCTCCTCGTACTTCCTCATCTTCCATACCTCCTCGTCTCCTCCCCTTCCTCGTGTCCTCCCCTTCCTCGCCCTCCATGTCTCCTCCTCCTCCCACTCGTCCTCCTCCTCCTGCCCTTCCTCTTTTCCCTCCGTCCATCTCTTCTCCTCCCCCATTTCAACTCCTCCTCGTCGTCCTCGCTATCCTCGTCGTCCCCCTTGTCCACATCCTCCTCCTCCTCTCCATATCCCCCTCTCCTTGCCATATCCCCATCTTCCTGTCATACGCCCCCCCGTTCCCCCTCCCAAAAAAAGATAAAATAATAATAATTAAAATAAAAAGCCTGCACGATTCCGCACAGGCACCCTCCGCACAGAACTCCGCACGAATGTGCGGCTCGTGCGGTTGCAAGTATGGTCCATCCTGGGGGGGTTGGGGGTTATAAACAGTGGCTAAAGGGGTTAAAAGGGTACATTTGGACTCGTGTTTTCTCATTTATTTTTATCTTAATTAAAATTAACAACGAATTCCTTAGCCAAAAGTTGTTTGTATTGCAATTTTACACAACATATTTTTTTTCGGATTTTTTTGATTTTTTTCCCTTCTATTTTTTAAATATTATGGGCTGGGATCGCTGGGCCGCCTGGGAGGGTACCCGGGCGACCTTCCTCCAGCCGGGCCGCCCGGGGACTAACACAGTCCTTTAGGGAGTTCCTTGGTCCAGCTGTCGAGTATTGTTGCAGTCTGAGTGTATTTGCCTTGAATGTGGCTGTTTTCTCTCTGCCGGAGAAGTGCTTGTGAATTGGATAGGTAAACGCATACTGCCGGCGTACTCGTGAGCAGAAGGGTCAGATTCTGTCCATGAAGTTCGGTTGTGAATAATGCGGTGTACACTCTGTCGGATGCCATAGAATGTCTCAAGATTGCAGCAATGCAGAGAATGAACAAGGACTTAGACCACACTGTGTCAGTGCTCTCAACTCGTTAACCGCAAAGCTCATCCAGCATGGACACAGTTTGCAGATGAAAGATCCTCGCGAATGCGGACAAAGATGATCACAATGAGAAGAGACAAAAGCTAAAGCAGAAATAGTTGGCCAGTGTCGTTCGAGGCATTGATTTTCAGATTGAAAATGGTAAACAAGCGTAGCATGGCCCTCGTGCAAGGGTTGACGTCCACAAATGAAGAAATTTAGGAACAGAAAGGAAATGTCTAGCCGGGCATGCGTGATTGGGCAATCAGGTCAGTGCAGAACAGGCACTGCGTGAGAGAGTGGATGGGCAGAAATGAGACAGGGATTCCCTCTCCCCTCCCCTCCCCTCCCCGCGCCCCCCGTCCCTGGGTGGCAAAAACAAGTCTCCTCGTTGGATCTGTGTGCAGCAAAATTATCCCATGCCTCTTATCCTTCATTCTTGGTTGTGACGGATTGTCCAACCAAGGGGACTGGGGTTGCAAATGGGGTATGAGTCTGGGCATGATAACTCCTTTTTCTTCCTGTTTTATTTACTACCTTGAATTTGGTGAACGACTGTTGAAGTCAACACTTAATTGAATGTTGTCTGTGTTTCAGTGTGGGATCTTTTTCAGATAAATTGACCTCTTCTTGATTTACATGTGTTGAAGTCAACACTTAATTGCAAAGCAGATTCTGCACTCGTGGGCTTGATAATCTTCTCTGTCTTATGTGACTGATTGATCCACGATCCAAAGAGTGCAGAATCTGCTTTGCCAGGCCCGCCGACACCTTCACCTGTGCATACACAGTCCGCCACTAGCCCTGATGTCAGCTCCTCATGCCGGCAGTCCTGCTTCAACCTACCCCCATTGCCTCAACGTCCCCCCTTCCTTCCCAACCCCCCACAGGCTCCACCGCACCCCTCCTGTTTACCCACGACAAATACAAAAAAAAGAAAAGAAGAAACGGAAATCCGATTTCCCCCCCAATCCCTGTTAACCCACGACAACAAAAACGAAACAAAAAAAGAAGCTTGGAAGGAGCGATGAGGAATGAACAACGAGGAAGGCGCGATGACGAATGAGCGACAAGGAGGAAAGAGGGAGTTGCGACGAGGAAGGACAGAGGAGGAGGGAACGACGAGAGTGAAGGAATGCTGAGGAAAGAGCGGCGAGGAGAAAGGAGGGATGAGGAAGTAGCAACGGGGGGAATCAGAAAAGAAAAGAAAAGAAAAGAAATAATGGCGGAAAGATAAGGGAGGATGGATGTCCATGGAGGGAGAAAGGATGGAGGAAGGAGGGAGGAAGGAGGGACGAAGGAGGGACGAAGGAGGGACGAGAAAAGAGGGACCAGGAATCAGTGACGATGGTGGAGGAAGAGTGATGGAGGGAGGAACCTGGGAAGAAGAGCGATAGACGTAGGAGGGAGGGCGAAGGGAGGAAGGAGTGATGAAGGAGCAAGGAAGGAGGAAGTGAGGATGGAAGAGGAAGGAGCGACAATGCTCATAGTTGAAGGGAAAAAAAAAAGATGGTGGAAAGGAGCGATGACAAAGGAGTAGCGATTAGAGAAAGGAGCGATGGGGGATTGAGGAGAAAGGAGGAAGGACAGAAGAGGATGGAGGAAAGATGAAGGGGCAAGAGAACGAGGATGGACCGAG